CAGCAAATATACTTTCCTGTGCTCCCATCCAGCAAAAATCCATTTCGACAGGGACAAAACTATCTTTGAGATGTTTGTCGTGCGAATTAAAATCACAGGCTTTCAAAAGTGTGCAAGCTTGAAACTGCTGAATTATACCCTCAGGTGTAACAAAAAATATATAATTTACAGGATAAGCCCTGAATCCTTTGATTAGAGCCAAAAACAACTTGTGGCAGCCAGTCAATTTTTCAAGAAAAGCTTCCCAAATGGAGTGATTTCCTTCTGTTCTCTTTTTTTTATATTATATTATTTTACTGGTATTCAATAGAACAAAGGTAATTCATCCAGAAAAAAATATGTGAACTAAAACAAATTAAATATTAATCAGTATGTTTTTTTTTTCTGAAATGCTTCAGTATGTTAATTGATTAACACTTAAGTTCATAAAAACACAGAAATCACACAAAAACAGTGTCGGGGTGCAATCTCTTAAAATCATCAAAAGATATGACGATGGCATTAAATATATATGTTTTTTTAGTTCTCAGTGGACACAGTTAAAATGTCTTGATACCAGACTCTGTAATTACTGTATTTTTATTTAGATGTCATGATAGAACAAAGACAGTTTGGCTTTTTTTTTTTTCTTGTAGGTTAAAGGGTGTCAGCTGAAGAGAACCACCCCCACCTTTTAATTGATGAATGAGGCGTTTTATCGTCTGTGATGAGGGTCAGTGTACCGTGATCAAAAGAATCAAAGAGCTTTAATGTGGAGGGAGAGTCACATGTGCAGGTACACACTGTGAACCTGCACATGTACGGTCACATGTGTGCTGTACGCATGAGCAATTTTTAAGTGGTGACACTCTGAACTGTGCTTTTACTTCAGCACAATTCACAGGGGAACACGGTGCTGCAGTTAGATTTTCGTCTTTTCTGTGCTATTACGAAAAAAGCCCTCATATCGAACTGATGGAACCAGTACGATAGTAGCAGCAGTACCTTTTGGACTACAGCTAGTTATTATTTTCTTTAATTAATAATTTGCAAATGATTTTCTGAGTTACATTTATCGGCTGATAAACTGTTTTGTCTATATAAGGTCAGAAAATTGTAAAAAAAAAAAAAATTATAAAGAAATAAAAAAATATTCTTTACAAATGTCAAATGTTTTTCCTGACCAATAATCCAAAGTGCAACTATATTTGCTTTACTGTGATAAAAGACGCTGGAAGGTGGAGCAGTGGTTAGCACTGTTGCCTCGCAGCAAGAAGGTCACCGGTTTGCGTCCAGGTGTGGACACCTGTGGAGTTTGCATGTTCTCCCCGTGCAGCGTGGGTTCTCTCCGGGTTCTCCGGCTTCCTCCCACACAGTCCAAAAACATGTTGAGGTTAATTGGTGATTCTAAATTGTCCGTAGGTGTGAATGTGAGTGTGCTTGGTTGTCTGTCTCTAAGTGTGGCCCTGCGATGGACTGGTGACCTGTCCGGGGTGTCCCCTGCCTTCACCCTAAGTCGGCTGGGATAGGCTCCAGCCCCCCCGCGACCCTAATGAGGATTAAGCGGTGTATAGAAAATGGATGGATGGATGGATGTGATAAAAGACAAAAATTATCTGAATATCGTCACTTAAGCAATGCTGAATCCAGAGGTATGACATTTTTACTTAAAAGTTAAGCACACCACCACTTGTTGGTTAGCGAAACAACTGGCAATTCATTTTTTGTTCAAATAATCAATCAACTGACCAAACATTGTAGCTCAGTAGGTTTCAACATAACCTGAACTTGCACAACTGCTGCAACTATCCATTATTTCAAATATGGATTAACCCTCTGAACCCAAAGAACAGTTTCTGGGCAGTATTTTTTTTAGCTCACTCACTGTGGGCTCATTTTTTACTGCAATAGAAAGTCCTGCACCTCTATGGAAACAGTGCAACCATGGTTACAAGTCAGAAAACCTCAAAAATGTATTTTGTGCAGCATTGCAAAATTAGAATGCCATAAATCCTAAAAAGAAAAAATGTCTTCAAGTTGAGTTTCTTTGATCAGTACGAGTGCCCACATGTGGTACCAACACTGAAAAAAAAGGTGACTCAACATAATATAAATATTTTACAGCTGACATTTTTAATTTGTTTCCATGCTTGTCCCCCATCTGCTCTATGTAAACACAGCCTGCAGTTCAACCCAGTTTGGCTGAAAATTTCCCGAATTATTGTCATGCAACTGTTGGTTGGAGCTGAGTCACGAATGACTTCTCAGTTGTGTAAAGGAGTGCAAAATATTGAGTTTTTTGTTTTTTTTGTACAGAATCTAATTACTTTAAACAGATTACTTTTGAATTCTTTCTTTGAGTCAAGTACAATAAAGTCATTTTGATAAAATATCACAATTTTAACCTTAGATTGCATGTTGTTTTTTTCCCCCTGATGGAACCCCTCATCACAGATGATTAGTCCAAACAGCATCAGAAATGGAAAAATCTGATGATTTTCTTTGTTTTCACAGCTTCTGTTTTTGACAAATGCTGCAATTTTGGGGATTTATTTTTCTTGAATAATAGCAAGCCTTTCAAACCTGCTGGCTTTGTTCAGGGTTCAGAGGGTTAGTGTGATTATTGTTTTAATTTTAAAACATATAAAAGTAATGTGCAATGTTCATCACAATTTCCCAGAACCAAAACTTTCAAATTTTCTGAGGTCCTGCAAGAAAGCCTTATGTGCCATAAGTCAACAAACAATGACTAATCCAAGAACAGCTAACGACACTATGGCATTTTTACAGTAATTTAAAGATATATTTACTGAGCTCAGTGTGCAACAGATGCTTTATGCAATGGCAAGCAACATGAAACTGATACAAAGATTAAAACAAATGTGAAAATGCATGAATTGAAAAGCAGTGCTGTTCGAGGTAGAAATAGCCAAGGCTTCCCATCAGCGCTGACTCACTGGGGAAACGTTAACAGCAGCAGCATCTGTATCACAGCCACCTTGTTAGGAAGTCGAGCTGCTCGCCGCTGAAATAATCACCGGCGCTATCAGGGGATATCAGGGAACAAAGCAATATGGACTCTGTTATGAAACGAGAATAATATCATTTCCTTACAGACACACGCAGTGGCCACGAGCGCCTGTGCCGGTAAAAGACGTGTGTCTTTGTGTGATGTGTGACTAAATGTATGCAGACACACACACACACACACACACACACACACACACACACACACACACACACACACACTTAGACGCGCACAGACGCCAAGCCTTAATTTGAAAAGTTAAATGAAAGCGATCCGTAGTCCGCAGAGAGTCTGTGTCTGAGATTAAACTTGTTTTTGGTCTCCCTGTTGGCTCATTTAGAGTCTGTGGGGGGTAAAGAGAGACAACACACACACACACACACACACACACACACACACACAATGGCCTCTTCGCCGTTTATTTGCTGTTTTGCTGATAAGGCTGTTACATCAGCTGTGACTTTCTTTTGGGCTGTTGATCAGTGGTTAATAGGAATCTAAATGGATTCTTGGATGTTAATTGCCATGAAAATGCAATAAGGCGAGCTTTGTGTTTATGTGTTAACTCCAGGCACTGCTCGACATGCATGCAGCCCAAACTGTAATAGCTCCCTAATAGGTTTTTTGGTGGGGGGATTTGTCATCGTGGATGAATGAGCTATTGTCTTCCCCGTAAATCCCTCTCTGATTGTACTGTTGCCTATCGTGAAACATAATTTGGAATATTGATGGCTTGGGATTGAAATGTGATGGTTGGCCTGTGGGGTGTAATTAAAGTTATTTGAGTAAATCATGCAGAGTTTAGATCAGATATGGAATTAGCTGTCGTCTAAATCAAATAGAAAATAATGAACAGCAGCATGTTTCTCAGCCTATTTGTAATAATAAACACCCTAATGTGGAGTTTTTTTTTTCTTACTAGCAGAATGAGCTTGCAGATTAAAAAGCCCAAAAAACATCTGTCTTGTGCAGGAACAATAAATGTTCTAAAAGCTTGGGCTCAAGATTTGGGAAGAACAATGATCTATATATCATATGTGTTCTGCAGGCCTCTTGTCCTCTCTTGCTGATCCAGTAGCTGTTATGTTGTAAACTAGTGTTTTCTAATCTATGCCTGTCAGCATGTCGCAGCAAGTTTGGTATTAACTGCACAGTACGGAGTCTGTCAAAGAATGACAGTAATTCATTAAGACTTTTTTTTTTCTGTGCGTCAGTGTTCGTCTGTCTCTGTACTTACTCCACAGCAATCGTATTTTTATCTAATTTACTCTCTCTTGCGAATCCCAACCCTCAATTCACTATTTAAAAAATGACAGTGTGGTTAAAATCAAGTTTTAAAAAAAGGTTGTTTACATGTCCATCTGGTGTTTTTATCTGCTAGAATACACATCATGAGCAGTTTACGCTGTGCCTGAGCATTTCCATTTTGAAATAGCAGTGTATGTCTGTCTGTGAGTCAGCAAGGTCTCATTACAGTCACTGATAAGTCATTAAATGCAGAAACGGCACATCGCTCCACCTCAGGGGCTATTGCACTGACAATGAGCATGCATGGGAAAAATCATAAATAACCCAAGCATGCACAAATAGACACCTCCCATGATCCTTATCAGTCCCCTGAGGCCCTTGTTTGTTGCCTGAGCACAGGATGGGAATGCTGTGCATAAAGCTTGTGAGTGACTTTTATAGTATGCAGCATATATGTGCACACAGTATCAGCAGCCTTGATGTACGGAAAATAAACTACATTACTTGGGAGTCATTTCAGCATTTGCCGATCTGCCGGGAAATTGCTGTTGTGAGAACCTCGACAAACAGTTGAGCTGCCATTCTGCCCCAACCAGCAGAGAGCTGTCACTGCTCTTGGCAGCTAAATGTCTGTATCTGTGTAAGAAGCATGGAGCATTGCTGAAAAAGTGCAAATGAGCTCAACTGACATGGAAAGAAAAAAAAAATGAACTCATGTGCGTGTGTCTGTTTTTTTCCCCCCCAGGTGTCGTGTCTGCAGGACTTCTTTGGTGACGAGGACATTTTTGTGGCTTGTGGACCGGAGAAGTTCCGCTACCAAGATGACCTGATGCTGGATGAAAGTGGTGAGGCGACTGTTAGCTTGTCTGACATTTCACATTTGACTTTACTGTGTTTACTGAGTGTTTATAAGTAGCCTTCTTAGGGTGTAAAAATCATTTAAAATAAGTGTTTTTGTGATCCATTAGTCTGCATGTCATAGTAAATACACCCATAATGGGAATTACATATAACAATGTGTCATGTTTTTTCCACTTTATTTGCTGTGTTTGGTTTTGTTTTTATTTTGGTATTTTATCCATATTTCATCAATGCCCCTTCTCTTTTCTGTTTCTGCCACATCTTGCTGGTTCAGAGGACTGTGTAGGCTGTCGAGTTCATGCTCCGCTGTCTCCTTCCCTCTCCTCTCTCCTCCTCTCTCCTCTTGGATGAAAGGGTCCACTGCACTTCAGCCCTCGTGTCACCTATTGTGCCATTGTTCCTCCTCCTCCTCTCCTCCGCCCGTCTCTCCGCCGCGGTCTGCTGAGGACAACGTTCTGTCCTCACTTCACCCATCTGTGCTTCGCTGCCAGTCTCTCCCCCTCTCGCTCCCTTTCCGCAGACTGCTGCCATTTAGCGCTCATCTGTATTCTTACCCTCTCGTCTCCCTTCCTGTCTCCTACATGAATGAGTGTGCGCTGGCTTTTGTTCGAAGGTTTATTCATTTCATTTGTTTCCCCAGTATCTCTTCATCCATTAAATAATATCCATCCCACCTGGGTTGCACAACCTCCACCCCCTTCCCCCTTTTGTCTCTATTTTGCTTTTTATTTATTTATTTTAACGTCCCTCTCTTCCCCACTTCTGTCCTTTTATTTGTGAAACAAAAAGCCTAGCTAGTTCCATTAGCCGTTCTCCCTTAGGCAACTGTCTTCTCTCTTGATCACACAACAACCTCCCACGTGCAACACATCTTATAAGACCATGTTTCCATCATGTTTCCAAGACAATTTTCATTAATTACTGATGATCGTTTCTATAAGCAATTTCTTGCAGTAACCGCCTACAGACAAGAAGCAATTTCAGTATCTGTCCATGTCTGCAGCAACTCTATGTGTGAACACAAGCGGACTAAGCAGTACAGCAAACACCGTTTTCCCTGCTGTTATTGTCCATGTTTATTCTGTGGTGCTTTTTTTTTCTCACTGCATTCAGAGTCAGAATACATCATAACTGGTCAACAAGGTCCGTCGCACCTCAAAGGCTCCTCCAGATGAACCGTTATTTTTTTTCCTGCATTTGGACCACGAGTATCTTTTATGGTTTCCCAAAATTGATTGTAATCAGTTGCAGTTGAAACAGCACCAATTTCAGGTAGCTACAGGTACTTGTTATGTAAGATACTTGTTCTGAGCTTCTTGGAGAACTCGCCAGAGTTCTTCTGTGGATTCAGGCTGTTTCAGTTGCTGCTATAATCCCAGACTGACTCAGCGATGTTGACATCAGCGCCAGACCATCTGCTGCAGGACTTTTTGTACTTCTTGTCGCCTTATATATTTCTTTACGACCCCGTCTGCATGTTGGATTGTTTTCATGCTACAGAATGAATTTGAGACCAGTCTGATGCCTCCTTAATTGACCTACCTACAAGTCTCTGTACCCCTCGGGTGAAAGTCAAGTTTCTCCCTTGTTAACATGTCCATATGGTGCTTTGTGCAGGCTAGAAAAAACTAACTTAGCAGTTAGCACCACAGCTTAACATTTCTTCCTTGAATATGCAGTGTGACGAGGATAATCTCAAAACAGGGATTCGGACTTCTCAGGTTATATGTTACGAACCGAAGGAGTTTTTTTTTGCATCATTATTCTTTTCAGAATCAGTTTCTGATTCAAATGTCTATGACTGAATTACTTCAATATTCCAATAATATACAACTTGCAACTGTGTAGAGTAGTTTTACAGTGTTTTAGCAGAGTCGTATGTCGGCTAATGACCTCAAACTGAGGTGAGTGGAGAAGAGTAAGCGCAGGAACTCAGTAGATCCACACATCCGGTGTAGAGTTACATCTAG